GTCGACAGTCTAGAGTGTACCTACCCGAATACTAAAGCAGCACCGCCAATAGCACCAACACATTGCGCAATGATATAGAAAAGTGACTTAAAGACTCCAATTTTACCAGTGAAAAGCATCGCCACCGTTACCGCTGGGTTTAAATGACCACCGCTGATGTGACCGAAACATTGCACCAAAGTGGCAATTGCCAGACCGGCGGCGAACGAGATTTGCAAGATGGTTGGCGTTTGGTCGTTCCAGGAGATAGTTGATGATAGAAGGATGAACAAGAAAAGAAACGTGCCAAGCATTTCGGCAGCTACTGCTCGCCAGAAACGAAGTTCTTGACAGCATCTGATATCGCAAACTTCAGCGACTACGCTCTTGGCAGGTGCCATTACAAACTATCTAACTAAAATAACTGCTGGAACTGACTACTAGACGATGTGCTACTATTTATTGTAAAGGGAAAACAATAGACGGGTGAGGCCCCCAGCAAACCTATTGTCTTTGAAGAGGAGGAAGCAAAACATGTGTGAAGTTGGTATAAGCTGCAGTTGACATACTCGCATATTCACGTGACACGTGATGAACTGGGTGTTAACTGGGTGTAAAGCTAGGAATAAACGTCAAGAAAACGTGACTTTTTTAGTAACAGTGTTGTCGCATTAGTACCTTCTATGGTTGTAGGTAGATCAAGATCGATAAATCACTGGAGTCAATTCGGAAGAAGGCTACTACATGAGCTACACAAAAAGAAAGTTCGTTGCGATAAAACAAAAATATGGTCCTCCATGGTTAGTCTAATCATGAAAACACGGTTAGTAACCGCGATGGAAGGTACTAACGTTAGTACCTTCCATGGTATAATCTTAGCTGTGGGACAATAGCTTTAATTTTACTTGTGTCGCCCTTCGTCTTAGTCTTTGCATGGTCTTTGTGATGGTATTTTAGTCATTTTTGATACATTTGGTTCCTTAAATTTGTTACTTTCAGATATAAGGATTTATATCAACACAGAAGAGCCATTGTTCCCCCATAGACTTGCAAACGTGCGAGGCCAGAAGGCATCGCAAAATAAAAGTACACCATTACATGTAGTATCACGCCAATCGCGATTATCTTTTTCAAACACCCACCAACACAAAAAGTTGAACAGCTACAAACCGGCAAGTTGTCGTCTGCAACTATGAGTAGTTTGCTATGGACTTCTTAGTATTTACTGTAGTTGTCCACTTTTTTCTACAAGCATGGAAAGACATTTTTTTATATTTCTCTAAAAAAATTGTAGGTAGTACACGCATGCATTTGAAGTAGTCGACATGCAGTGGCGGATCCAGAGGGGGGCCAAGGGGGCCATGGCCCCTTCAAACGCATGAAAATGCATCTGGATTACTCATAGCATCGTCCGAATCGCACGGTCCCGCGTGAAATGGAAAAACTGTGACGCCTTGTGACGTCACGATAACTTATTCAAGATGGCGGCAAACGCGGGGATTTCGCTGTAGTTTTCCGCGGTTTTCGTCGTGAAATCGACCAATTTCGGACCATCGCCCTCAAAATAATTGATGAAACAGTTTCGGGACCCATCGACAGTAGAAAAGTAGAAACTTGAGGCGAAAATAAGTAAAAAAAAAAAGGCTGTTACGGCCCGACCTG